GTATCCCCTTAAGATTAACATATTCCTTTCTCTATAATAAATATGATTGGCGCTATATCGATCCTATTTTATGATACATTCAAGTGTAATAGCATTGGATCCGGAAATTTTTTCTGTGGGTGTACGTCGACAAGATATCGACAAAGTATTTATACGGATCTTGTTGCTCTCTAAAAGTCAATCAGTGGATTATCACTGAAAACAGTGAATCGCCACTGATTTACAGTTATAAGTATACCACTGCAATTTTCAGTAGTATACTTATAACTGCAAATCAGTGCACTGAGAATCGAAAAACAGTAATAGTCCCTGAATTTTTGCTCATTCTCAACTTTTAATCTTAATACGCAAATGCTTGCTTAAAAAAAAGTAATGTCTGCTGAAAAATACAATACCATCTAACGACTAAAGTTGTAAGCGATATTGTATTAAAGAAAACATGATTACTGAACAATTTTATTATAGAGTGATGTGCAATTCCGTAACCATTACTGTTGACCACCAGCATTAAAATAATATGTAAATAATATGTAGCCTAACAGTAGGGTAGAAAACATATATAAATAGTTAGCTCAGCGTTAGCGTACTAGGCTAGTAATCCGAAATCTTAGGTTCGAATCCCACATATAAAAAAAATTGAGAAAAAACTAGTGGAAAAGTTTTTTTATTTTCAATAAAATCTTGTACCAAAACCATTACTGGTTTTTATCGTAACGATTGTGGAAATACAGTACTGATTCAATACTGGATTAGTAAGTAACAGTCAATCAGTTGATCTACAATATTCATTACTGTAGAATCCGTAATAGTTATTGTAAAATCCGTACTGATTACTGGGAGAATGCTTACTGTAGTGGTACGTAATGGTTACTGTAAGAAAGACTAAAAGTTAAAAACGAGGAAAAATGTTATAACCATCACTGTTTTTCAGCTCTCAGCGCGGCTATTCACTGTTTCCAGTGATAATTCACAAATTGCTTTTTAGAGAGTGCGAAATCAACGAAGGATCTAGTCGTCATCAAATGAAACGGTCCGAAAAATCATGACCGAGATCGGCTTGTGAATCTGGGACGCCTCATTAAAAACCATATCGCGGGACGCGGGATCGATACGAGAGAGATTGCAAGGGTTAAACAAAATCGCGGCCGCGCCGCGCCGCGTTTTTATTATTCCACGCGGTTTTGCATAGGAAATCCATGCGGTTCGCGCAGAACGACTCAAAAATCGCGGCATACCCCCCGGAGAAATATACGCCCACCCCCGCGCACGTACGTAGAGACACGTGCGCGTCCGAAATTATTCACGTCGTGTACGATTTCTGGACCGTCGCGGAGCCGCGCGAACTATAAATCCCGTCGTCCCTCCGCCTCGCGCGCGATAGGGAGGCCGGGGCGTGATTTAGCCGCCTCTCTCCGGGAGCAAATAAAAAGTAAAGCAGGAGGGAGGCTGGCGTCCGGAGCAAAGGGCGACGGAGGTGAGAAATCCGGACGGTGGACAGCGAGAGAACATAAGTTTCGCCCCGGTGACGTACGGGTGGAACTGTTGTTTCGCGCGCGACGCGTCAATGAAGTCCGAAATCCTCGTCGCGTACACGGATTTTGTTATTGCGCCGGCCGGTATTTTGGGCGGTATCGGCGAAAGCGCGGCAAAAAATACGGATTCCGACGGTTTCATTTGAAAAGGAAGAAAGAGAGAAAAAGAACCCGAAATTTTTCAAGCAAGCTCAATTATTTAACTCGAGATATGCCTTTGTTCAGCTAATTCTGTGCAGCGCGATATTGATTACTGCGCAGCGTTACATGTACGTTCCGGCATAATTTTCCGGCGTGTTATTGCACGTATTTTGGCGCATGAAAATTTCGCGTATTATTCAAAGTCCCGGAAATCGAAAATTGATATTACATCACTAATAACCGAACGAATCACGCGAATCGAACGACCGCGGGGACCACTCGAGTCTGTGTGCGATAGAGTTCGGCTAACAACCAGGGGGCTGCTATCGCCGCGATTCTACGGGGGAAGGGGGTGGAGGAGGAGGAGGAGGAAATAAGCCTGTGTACGAAACGCGCCGGCACCCTATTTTCCGCGCCACGCGTGCCGACGCTCTCGGCGGGCGTCGTGGCGGCGACACGCGGGAGAAACGAATGGTCGCGTGCGGATAATCCCGGGATCGGCAAAAAACGATTCAGCCCCACCGACACGCCGTGCGACTTAAGCGGCGAAATTGTTATTTCGTGTGTGGCGCGAACCGCATTCCAAAGTGCCGCGTAAATGCCACTTCGCGAAAATGCGCGCGCCCATCCCTTATACATTCCTCCTTTTTCCGTCGCCTTTTTTCCGCGATGCGCCCCCCCCCCCTTTTAGTTTTCCCTATTCCCGCCCACTCGTAAACGCCGGTGTCAGTGCACTTGGACAGAGAAAGAAAAGACGGGGAAGGGTGGAGGAGGAGGGGGGGGGGGTAGGGAAAAAAGAAGGGAGGAAAAAGAGTGAAATGCATTCCTCGCCTTATCCCGGGGAAAACGTGAGTGGATCGCAACAAACGACAAGGCAGG